TTCTCCCATCAAAGCTTAGCCAGCCGAACAAATCCGTTTAAAAATAGTTTCTATCCTTGGCCTGTCAGACTCTTAAACGCAACCACAATCACTCCACGCACACACGGAAACGTATGGCTACTTTTTCTATTTCTCCCCCCCCCCCTTTCTTCTTTTCCCCTAATCACTCGCATCGGGATTATTCCTTATGCTATTTATGCTGTTTGCATTGGTTCTCCTGAATGGCACCAATGGGCTAGAACCAATTCCCTTGTATTTATTTTGTACAATGACAATGAAGGCTACACTATAATGGGGGGCAGCGGGTGGAGCAGAGAGCTGGACAGGTCCAGCCAAAGGGATGGTGACTCTCCTCCTGCCCACATGCAGCCCCTTGCTCTGCATCCCTATTTAGGAAGAACCGCACTGGAAGCTGTGCCTCTCACAGACTCTGGCAGTGGATGGCTGGGAACAGGCTCCATCAGGGCTCGGAATTCCCCTTCCAAGATGGAGATTGTAGATGGCTGAAAAGGAGGAGCCCCCCGACTCTCACTCGCAGGCCAGGGAGATATCGGCCAGGAAGCAGGTCTGTGAGGCAGATCCCAGCCACCCCTAAAGTCTCCTCATTGACCCTCACCAAGGGGGGGTGGTGGGTGGGAGGGAGACCCAGTTGTGCCACAAGGCCCTGTTGGTGGCTCAGATAATGGAAATGGGACATCCCTCAGTCCTGGGATTCAGCTCCAGGGGTGGCTTCCTGAACTGGTTAGTACCTGTTCGCTGCGCACCACTTTGAGCGTGCGCTGCTGCTTCGCTCGTGTGCGCGCCGGCCATATGGTGCTTGCACATGCGCATTTGACTAAAAATTGTTCTGCACATGCACAGAAACATGCCGACAACGGCAGAAGGCACCGGAGAACTGGTTCAGCCTGGTTCGCTGCCGGTTCTGCGACCCAGACAAAAATACCACCACCGGTTCAGGTGAACCGGGCCGAACCGGGATAAGCCCACCTCTGCTCAGCTCATCCTCCGGGGGAGAGAGGCAAAATGTACCCTTGTTTTGAGTGGGTTAGAGAAGAAGAGATCGAAATGAACCAGAGACAGACGAATGCAAAGTCCTTGACTGAGTCCAGGCCAATTTAATTAGCAGGCCCAGTTTTCCCTTTGGTAGAAAGCTCCGAGCCTGAGGGGTCATCGCTGATAGCTTACATTTAACTGCATATGAATCCTTATACAGGCATTCAAAGCAGCATCTTTAGTAAGATGCTCCCTGTGTCGTTTTATAAACTCTCTCTCTGACAGTTTCCCCAACCTTCCCAGCCTAACAGGAGAAAGCAAGCGAAATGAACTATTTTCACCCAGTAAGTTTGGGGGAATCTCTGCCGTCCACAAATGACCAACACCCGAGGATCAGAAACTCACAACAGCAGCAACACCCGCAGGGAAGCAACTGCCTGGCTCTACTGGCGTTGCCACAATTAACCCAGGATTAGAATGCAGGTCACCAGGGAACTACGGTGTGTGTGCATACGATGGATGGCTGCACCTTTGTCCCCCCTTATTCACCCCTATACAACCATTCGAATTAGCAGAGAATCAAGTTTAAGGCTTTTGTCTCCAGAATGAGAAAAGAGTGCAAGTGAAATATTTCTTCAATATTTCTTTCTGTCAACCGATGCTGGCTTGTTTTAATTCCTTTGTATTCTTTTTTCTAGTAGAAAGGTGCCGGAAAGTAAAAATAATTTCAAAATAGGGGAAACTTCTAGGCTGTAATAGCTGCAATTTGAAAAAGAAGTCCGCCATGAGGAAAAGGGTGAACTCCAGCCCATCTCAGCCCAAAGCCTCTTACCTTAATGCTTCCTTCCGGGGGTCTTTAGAGGGGCCTCTGCAGTTCTACCACTGGGCCCCAGGAACAAACCAGAAACCTTTGAGAAGGAGGGAGAAAGAGAGGCAGAGCTGGGGGGGGGGGAGCAAAGCAATTTAACAGCAGAAATGCAGTGATGGTTTCAGCCAATGAAGAGGGCAGGGAGCCTGCACTTAAAGGGCCAGGTGGGGGCCTCCAAAAGGCCAGTCCTGACCTCATCTGTATTTTCTTCCTGGGCTGGGCACCATTGATATGAATCCACCCCATGCACAGCTTCCAACAGCTGCTTTCCAGCCATGAAGGTTGCCTTCTTGCCCACCATTCCGACCACTCCTATTTTAGCAGAGGAATGGCTAAGGAAGCTGGCCGGAGCCTCCCCTGTCTGAGGAATCCCACTGGCTGATCAGGCCCTCGGCTCTTTTGGTGCTTTGGGGGTCACCTCAACAAGGGAGCCTTAACCAGAGTTTCGGGTACGAGGCCCCCCCGAAGGAAGTCAGGTAATTTGCTTAAAAGAGCTAGATAATTCCTGAGACCAGCAATTGGGATTGGAGGCGTGTGTGTGTGAGGATGTCGGGTGGCCCCATCTTCCATCTGCTCCTCCCTTACAGCCGTGGGGACGGTGCAAATTGGGCAGTTTAATTGCGGCTTCACTTTATGCTTCTGGCCCCGACCCAAGATGGGGAACCGCCAAAGGATTCCTTAAGGAGAGCGAATGACAGCCCAGCTCAATTGGCCCGAAAGGTACCATCGATAAGGTAAAGTGAGAAGACAAATGTTGTTTTTTTATTGTTCCCTCTCTTTTTTTGCATTTTCAGCTTTCTTTGATTCCTTCTGCCTTTTTTCTCACTTTATATTAATTGGAACTGGTTTCTTTAATAAAGTAATAAAATTATACACCTCCCCACCCCCACCCCAAAAAAGAGACCAGGTTTCAGTTGTGTGGTTGTGGCTGCCACTCTTGACTTTTTCGACCCCCATCTGCACCTGGAAGGAAAGGCCCAGGAACAGAGTAAGAAAACCCAGCTGACGACAAAGCCGAAATATGGATTTGGGGCTCTTTTTTTTTCCCAGCAAGAATTCAGCTGCTTCTTAATTTTACCTCCTTTTCTACCTTCTTTTGTCCTTTCTTGTTTAATTAGGTGAACAAGTTCATTTAAAGAACATAATGATATTGTCTATAGGAACCTGTCAGGGTGGGGGGGGGACACAGGCTCCCCGTGAATCTCACAAGACTGAAATGTTTACGGGGTATGTAAAAATGGGGGGAGGCTTTGAGGGGCCCTTGTGACTCTGGACTTCAAAGGCCAGAAAATGAAGCCTGTGACTCGTTCCCCAAGGAGGGTCTTGCAGCCCTTTAGACCTGGGAGTGCTCCATGGAGGACAGTCAAGGGAAGAGCAGCCTTGGTTCAGCAAAGGGGAAACAATTCTCTCTTTCCCCCCCTCCAATAAGAAGCGCCTAATGAATCTCTCTTGACCGTGGAAACTGTTGGAGATGTTTCAATTTGATTTTTATCTGGCCTTTGAATTGGGATGGATTCCACTTTCACCAGACTGTTTATGGTCCTTTTTGCATTTATATAGGAAAGTTTCTCAACCTTGGTGACTTTCAGACTCTGGACTTGAGTTCCTAGAATTTGGGAAGTTGAAATCCTCTGCCTGGGTGGAGAAACACAGCAGGAATGCATAGAATTCCAATCTGCAACTCTGAGCAGCCCTTGGATTGTGAATGTAATGGAGTATGTACACATTGGTCATAAGGCGTGACAGTCATAAATTGAATCAGCCACCAATCTCGTTTTACCGCCTTTTTTGAGGAGGTTGTAAAGCAACCGCCATAGTTGTTAAGCAAAATGCCCCCGTCATTCAGCGAAGCAAGGGTTCGTTATAGGCCGCTTTTGCTGAAAAAATCCCAGCCCGGATGCCACACTCTCAAAATGTGGTAACGTATCTGGGGGACGTAACATAATAACGTCACTACTTCAAATGGTCGCTAAGTGAGCAGCTGCAAATCGAGGACTATTTTATTACATAAATTATTGAAAATAGAATAAAAACAGCTTTTATTGTTGTGATAGTTACCACTGTTATTAAAACCTGCAGTTTTCTTACATTTTGATTAGTTTCTGCATTATTTGCATAAAACAAAATACTAATCATCAACCAGGACTGAGCCATAAAAAAGGCCCAGGGACCGGAGCCACAGATGCCAGGAGGGGGGAAGCCCAAACAAGACCCCCCACCCTGGGCCGGCCCTTGTCCTGGGAGCCGGGAGGGCCCAAATCGTCCGGGTTCCGGCCCTGGAGAGGCCATTCGAGCCCAGCTGGGGAGAGCTCCCTGCCCTCTGCGGAGGCGGCGGGGGCCTTTTCTCCTCCCCAGAGGGAGCCGCGCCGCTTCCCAGCCTCCCTTTACGGATGGGGAGTCGCGGCCCTTCCCGCGAGAGGGGGTCTCTCTCCCACGAGGGCCGCAGCGGCCTGGAGACCCTGGGCGGCTGCGGGCGGGATGGGGACGGTTGGCGGCGCCGCTCTCGGGTGCTTCCCGTCCGCGATCTTCAGCTGAGCCCGGGAAGAGCCTGCCTGAAGCCGCCTCCGCTGCCAGCCAGGGTCGCGGCGCCCTCCGGCCGCCCCTCAAGAGAGGCGCAGCAGCCCCTCCAAGTCCGCGCAAAGGGACTCCCCCACCCCTGCCCTGCAGAGCCCCCGCGGGGAAGCTGAAGCTCACCGCGCCCCCCACCCGCCCCGTCCAGCTACCCCCTTTTTCTGCCGGGGCGCATCGCAGTGTGCCCCCCTGCCAGACCCGGGTTGGGGCGCCCGTGGCCGCAGGCAGCGCCCCCGCCGGCCCCGGACCTTCCCGGCCAGGCAGCCGCTGCTCTCCGCCTGGGACTGCGGGAGGGGGGGACATTGAGCGGGGGGGGGGGGGGCCGGGTCCCTGCGCCGCGTCTCTCGGCTGCGGCGGGTCCAGCTGGCGCCCAGCCCAGAGGCTCCGCAGAGGCGCCGGTGCCCGGCGGAGCGTGACGGCGGCTGGCTGCTGACGCCGACTCCCCTGCCCGCCGCCGCCGCCCGCCCGCTCGCCCCACCTTCTGCGCCGGAGATCGACAGCGCGGAGGAGCGGCAGCCGCAGCCGCGCACAAGCGCCGCGGCGCGCCCGGCTGGCCAGCCGCAGGGAGGAGGCGGGAGCCCGCAGGAGCTCCGCAGAGGAGCCGCCGCCGCCTCGCAACAGGTGCCGGGGGATGTGCGCCCCGCCGGCCGGCGCAAGGGGCAGCCCCGCCGCGGCCCAAGACGCCCAGGATGAGCTCGGCCACGGCAGGTAGGCGCGGGCGGCCACGTCCCACTGCGGCTCCTGCGCCGGCCCCTCCGGGAAGGCGGGCTGGGCGGCCCCCGCGGCCCTCCTGGGCCCGGGGGAGGGTAGGGCAGGGCGGCCTGGGCAGCGGCGGAGCCCGGGAGGGAGGGCGGGCGGAGTCCGCGGCCCCTCCGGCAGAGCAGGCGGCTGGGGGGCTGCGGGGCGGCGGCCGGAGGGGTCTCTCCGCCCAGCCCCCCTCCCCCTGGGCAGCCCCAGGTGCGTCCCGCTCCCTCTCGCCGCTCCCGGGCTGGGCTCGGAAGGTTCAGCGAGGAGCCGAGTCTGTCCGGACGCCTCGGCCGCAGCTCCCCGGCGGGGCGTTGCGGGGAGCAGGTGCCGCAGCGATGGGGAGCCCGGCTGCCCGCCCCCCACCCCGCCGCAGTTGGCGGCTCCCTTTGCGGTTCCCTTCGGGGCAGCGGCGCAGCGCTCCTCTCCGGCCGGGCGGTCGGCCTGGCAGTCGGGCGCGCTGGCCACAGGGGTCCATCTGCGGGGGGGGAGGGGGGGAGAGGAGGAGGCGGCGGCTGTGGCCCTCGAGCGGCTCCCGGACTACAGCTCCCGGCATCCCTCAGGATGGAGCGGCCCTCGGCCTGGGCAGCCGTGTTGTGCGGAGCCTCACCTGGAGCCCCGATGCCTCCGCGGGTGGCTCGGCTGCAGCGAATTCAGGCCCGTGAATGGCGGTGGATCTGCTGACGGCAGCCCGAAGGCAGGCGGGGCCGCAGCTCTCTCTGGCCGGGAATGAGGGAGGACATGAAGGGAGCCGAGAGGATGGAAATGGAGGCCTCCTTCGTCCCCTGGAAAGCTCCCCCCCCGCCCTCTCCTAGGCCCGGCTCTACCTTCTAGGTTGGGGGCCCCGAGAGGGCAGAGCGGCTCCCTCCTCCCTGGCGCCCCTCTCGGGACCGGCTGCCAAGGGCCAGGCCGGGCTGCAGCTGAGAGGGACCCCAGGGCCAGGAGGGGCTCAGCAGAGAGAGGTTGCAATGACAGTGGACGGGAAGCTGAAGGAGATTCATGGGTCTGACAGGGCTGTGAAAAACGGCCGCAGATTCAGGGTGGCCAGGAAATGATTCCAAATGGGGAAAGGTCCCCTCTGTTTGGATTGGTTGGGATCCCTCCTGAGCACCGGAATCTCAGAGGATTCAGAGAAGCAGGAACACTGGGGGGATCAGGGATGACCGGAGGCCTGGAAGAGGGGAATCCCTGAAGGGAGGGTCTTCTTTAGTCTGGAGAATACTGGGGGGGGGGCTATGACAGCCCTCTTCAAACACCTGAAAGGGTGTCAGGCAAGAGAAAATTAAGGGGGGGGGAGAATGGGTCAAAATCTTTTAGGGTGAGCTCATAATGTATTTGAGCAAGGGAGAAGCCATTTGTCCTCGGAGGCAGGGCAAGTGGGGGCATTTTCAGCCAAGCCAAGGGTTGATTTATGGGATGTACACAGCCGCCTGGACTCTTGCGTGGACCAGAGCAGGTCACTCTGGACAGGGGAAGAGGGCCGGAGACCTTTGCTCCTAGGAATCCTGGGCCATCCTTGGCCACGAGAGGAAGCATCTTCACATGCTCTGCCTGCCTTCTTTCTACTTGGCCTGCTGCTGGCTGAAGGGGCCTCTGTTAAGGGAGCGTCTCTTCCATGTGTGCCTTGAATGGGAGAAGGTGCCGTGATTGGATCTGCAACCGGCGCAGTGGCACACGGGGGCCCCGGTGCCTCCACTCCAGGGATGAAAGGGCGAGTGAGGAGGGCAGAGCCAGCGGAGAGGAAAGCCTCAGGATCTCATCCCAGCAGGCGATGCTCCCTCTGCAGTTCCCTGCTCTCTTGCTCTAGATCAGTTCTACAGTGCAGACAGTTGCAGAAACCACAAGTACCAGTCGGGTTAACGGATGAAAGGTCCAGGGAGATGGGGAAAGACTCAGAAGATGTCAGTTTCCCAAGTGAAAGAGGCAACCAAAGACGAGAGCTTGGCCACTTGAAGATCTCCCTGCCAGAAGAAAGGCAAAGGCGGGCCTTCCAGAGGAGACCCGGGGCAGATGTCCAACATTATGAGGCCAGAGAACTGGCCGATGGATGGAAATGGCGAGGACTCTGATGAAACTGTCCCTGCTGCTGCTGTTGTGGAAATGCCAGTGGGAGCCAGAGGCATGGAAGTTGAAGATCTGGACACAAAAACCTTGGAGGAATTAGAGGAAGATATTGCCATTGATTCATTCATTTATGTAACAGAATAACAGAATAAAGAGTTGGAAGGGGCCTTGGAGGTCTTCTAGTCCAACCCCCTGCTCAGGCAGGAAACCCTGTAGCATTTCAGACAAATGGTTGTCCAATCTTTTCTTAAAAACATCCAATGTTGGAGCACTAAAACTTCTGGAGGCAAGTTGTTCCACTGGTTAATTGTTCTCACTGTCAAGAAATTCCTCCTTAGCTCTAAGTTGCTTCACTCCTTGATGAGTTTCCACCCGTTGCTTCTTGTCCTTCCCTCAGGTGCTTTGGAGAATAGCTTGACTCCCTATTCTTTGGTGCATCACCTGAGACATAGTAAGTATGATGTCTTGTCTCCCCTAGCACTTCTTTACATTCTACTA